ATGCCAAAACAGGGGTCTCCACTACCATCTAAAATTCCTTATGATTCTTCACCAAATCTAGAGCCTCATCTCAACGGGAACAAGCCTCATACAGTTCCCTTAATATATTTGCCAGCCTGCCTTGGATGTCCTTGGCTCCTTAAATTGACAGTAAATATTTCTATTTACTGTATATATGAGTATTCCCCCCCAACCTGAATCCTTCTTGCTCCAGTTTACTTTCTAGCCTAGCTAGTAGGGCTCTGGAGGGCAGATTTTTTTCAATTTTTCATCCTTTAAATATCTGAACACCCTCAGTTAAAACAACCGTGTTCATTTGGTCTTTTTCCACAGGTCAGAGCTCTGCTCTCCCTCTAAACCTGTCCCCAGCCAGCACTGCATGGGTGGATGTCAACCAGGAGTCTGGCAGGCAGAGCTCCCACTTATATGTACTAAAGTCACTTTTGCTTTGTCCACAGCATCATAACAGTGTTACCTTCTCTTTAGCTTGGGATCTGCTCAACTCCTCCCAAACTTTAATGAGGAATCACTACTTTCCTTGGCTCACTCTGTATTTGTGTACCTTATTCCTCCTCAGACCTGGAGTTTGGAATTTTCCACAGGGACTTGCAGACTGTTCCCCTCGCTCCAATTAATCAATAAATATTTTAATTTCTCTCCTTCTTTCCAGTGAGCTTGCTGCCCTTCCCAGCCCCGTGTGCTCTGAACAGTTAAAACACAAATTCTTTATTTCACCAACTTTAAGGAACACGGTCTGAGGACAGAGCCCGGGGGACCCTGATCAGCATCACTTTTCATTTTGACCCCTGATACATTACCTCTGCAATCCCCATGCTTCAGATATGCTTTTCTACATGGTCCTTTCATCCACTCGCCCCTCTTGGAGAGTCATTTTCCTGGAGGTTTGGGGTGTGGTGGAAAGGCACAGATTTCAAAGCCACATGTCACATTACCCCAGCAGAGGATCTGACTGTTTATTTCCCCTCTCCCATTGAATTCCTTTGTGCTGGGCCCTGTGTATAAAGGCAATATGAATAACCCTGAGCCATGTGGAGGGGGAGGTTTCTGTGACTCACACTACCATGCTTTTTTCTTTCGCTGCTGTATTTCCTAGTGCATGTCCTCGCTCCTGGCTCTCACCACAAAAGGCAGCAACAATCAAGCAAACCTCCGAGTGAGTAATCTGCTCACAAAGAGCCTTTTGAGCTCACAAAGTAGTTGCAGGAGGAAACGTCCCACTGGGGAACCAGGTGGACAGCAAACATTCGCTTTCCATTACAAATGAGTTCAAGGGAAATGGAGTCACCCCAGCATGGGATGCCAAATCCGTATCCAAAGCCACTTCCCACCATCCACGCTAAACATGCTTCCCTTTCTCTCGCTCCCCATCTCCCCTCCTTGTTTACAAACACGTTTACAAGTACTTGATAGGTGACCTTATTTACTTAGTAACCTGTGGATTCATTTATCTTGAAATTAGCAGGTAATGAACTGGAAACCCTCAACAACCCTCCCACTAATTAACATGATAATAAGATTGTTTTGCTACAGAGGTACAATTAGCATGTATGAGCTAGAGGGGGAGAAAGATCAATAAAATGTCTGAAGGGTACTAGGAACCGGTCTCAAGAAGAGAACAAAAGAAAAGAGCTTTATGGGGTTACAACAGCAGCAATCACTTACAGACCTGGTGCTTTAAAGATATCCAGAGCAGTGGTCCTCTTGCCACTGGATTGCCTGCAAGTAGGCTTGGAGGAGCTACCTGCATCCCATCCTGCTCACCATCAGAGTAGATTAGGGATGTATCAGAAGTATTCCAGTCAAAAGGTTAAAACTTGTGAAGGAAAAAAAAAAAAGTTTGGGAAAAGTCCAAAACATATATATGGCATGTGTGCATAAAACAAGGCAGGTGTTTTGTGGTGAAAGGGAATGATGGAGAGTCATTTAGTGCTCATAATCATGAAAAAGGGCTCCAGGACGTTGTGCTGAGAAACCCCTCTTTGCCATTCAATTGACTTTAAGGAGATTACTTGGGTAAATAATGCTTAAACATAAATCTTTGCAGGATCATGCCTTTACACAGGGAACTGAACTGGAAATGGTGAGGAAAAAAAAATTGCAAAACTGTTTTAATGGGCTCCCTTGGCTACGTCAGATCAGTTTGAGTGAAGGGAGTTAGGGAGAACTCACATGAGAGGGTGATGTGCAGTTAGAGAGCCACTTTGTCACCAGGGATGTCTGTCTCCTAAAGTCCCTGGTCAGGGGAGAAAAAGGTGAAACAAAACTGGGATGTTCTTTTCCAGAGCAAGCAATATGAAGAAAATGGCAGGATTTTTTCTTTCCTAGAGTCATAGTTGCTTGTCTGCTAATATATTTCCATCTACATGGACTGGATCCATGGCTGTGCTGAGGAGAGAGATGCACATCTGAGATGTAAGATATGGAGAGAGGCAAACATGGCACAGGATTTAACAGGCTAATGGGATAGAAAGAGTATGGGGCTACAGTCATGTTAGTCTTTCACAGGATATATATCCTGTGAGTAAGTCTGTGTGTGAGAAAATCCATACTTAAATATTGAAAATAAAGTATAAACTAAATATTGAAAATAAAGTACAAACCAGCCCTCCAGCACTTGGTGCACTGTCTGATATCAAGCTGAAGAGCCAGAAACCTGTACTGCTGCCCTTTTAGCCAGATATTTCTGGATAAACAAAGAAGTCTCTTTCTGCTTGAAGGAGCTTGGTTTAAAGCTCGTCAGGTCTTAGTTCAACTCTTTTTTTTTTTTTTTTTTAATATAAGTTCCCATAGATATTGGCTCCTCTACACAAAGCCATATTTTGCCCCAGATGACTTGGGAAATGAGATCATTCACATTTGCTTGACGTAAATGGGAGGTGCTGAAGGCTGAAATCTGCCCCCAAGCTCTTTCCCTCACATCTGGCTTAACCCCACATCTGTCCTCCCCATCTGCACTGACGCCTCCTGTCCCCTCCCAAACCTTACATTGCACAGCACATTTCAGCACAGAAACTGCAGAGGAATTTGGGCTAGTCCTGTGTCTGGAACACAAGTCTTCAGGTACCACTGACAACTCCTGTGAATATTTTACCATGCGTGTGATTTTTGAGTGAATGTTATTCATCAGTCATTTGAGCTCACAGAATATTGTCTCATGGCATTCTTTGGAGTGCGAAAGAGGAAGGAAAACTATTAATTACTTTTGATTGACATTTTCCATTTGTGTGTGTGTGTGTAAGGGGGGGTTGTTGTGCATTTTTTTCATAGAACCTCAGGTTTGAATTGGGTAAACTGACACCTTGCAATCTGATCTGACAGCCCTGCTTTGTGTGGGAGTTTGTACGACTCCAAAATTTCAGCTGTGAGACTTTCTGCGTGAGCAGTCATTTTATTAGAAGTTTTGACACCTCTCCTAGCAGGGATCAGTGCCCGCTGTGTGAATGGAAACACCAAAAAGAGCATTGTGTGATGCAGAGTGGGAAGGGAATAAAAGAACTTCTGTACCCAATCGCTGAAATTAGCTCAGATAAAGATCTTTGAGGACCTTCAAAGTAGTAATAGTGAGACATTAGGGCCATCCCACTGTAATTATTGTCATGGATTTGTATTATAGTTTAAAAATCACAGATGCCCACATAGTTTTGTTGGATTTTGTTTCTCTCTTTGAATCTGCCTGTTTTCTATGAGTTTGTGTTTAACTGTTTATTTTTTTTTTCCTGTGAGAGGACAGCAACATCTTTGGTTTGTTCCAACTTTTGTGGATTGAAATTTGAAATTTGATTTGTCAATGCCTGGCTCTGAAACTCTTGTCTGTACCTGAATGGGGTACAGCAGCTGCCTCAAGTGGCCCAAAGCTCACTGGTTCTTTGGATTTGTCCACTTCTGTTGCAGCTGATGGGAGAGATGAAAGAAGAACTGAAAAGACACTGTTGACTACAGGATTTTGCATTTCTGAAATAAAGAAGCAACTTCACAAGTGCCCTGCATCCATGTGGGGTGCAGCTGGGCAAAGGGAGTTGCTCAAGTGAAAAATACATCAAGCAGAGACTGATTGGAGTAAACAATGTGAAATGCAGGGATGTGGATCAGGAGGAGAAGTGTAAAGGGGCTGCACCTCAAGAGACTGAGGCAGCCCTGGGAGTAATGCGCAGACAGCCCCTGCAAAGCCTCTCAACTGTTTTTACTTTGTCCTCCTTAGCTAAAAGGTTGTTTTTGTGTTTGCCTGAACATGATCTTGTGTGGGAAAGTCATGAGAATTAGTTACATCTGAAATTTCCCGTCTTTCTACCGTGTCCCTGCCATACCCTTCACATTAACTGGGGGCTTTTCGGACAAATTTTGAACAGAAAAAATGCAAAGCAAGCCATGATTCATTGTGGAAACTAGGCTGAGGGTTTTGTGGGGAGAAAGCAGGCTGATTTTTTTTCCTGCTCCCACTCACCTGCACTCAGCTAGGTTGATAAATACCTGTGAAGCATTTGCTAGAAAAGTTCCTAGGAGTTCATTGTAATGAGCAATCCTTCTGGCCTAGATTTGTATCTTCCTTGAGAATAGGTGTAATTTTAGATCTGCTTTGCAAGCTCTTTTTTTCTTTTCCCCCTTTTCTTTCCAATACTCCTCAGTACAATAGGAATCTTGTCCCATGGTGTGAAGCCCCTGCAGAGTTATAAAATTGTGTCACCTTCCCTGCCTCCCTTATAAGTTACTCTAAGTGACACTATTAAAAAGAAAAACCACAGGATCTCCTGGGATCAAAACAATGTCCTGTTGTTATCTTAACACAACTCCGTTTGGCTTTTTTGGCTTTTACCTTTCATTTCCTACGGCTCTGTGCAAGCAGAGCTTGCCTCGCATTGTGCTCCATTCCATGCATGCATTTTCTCAGAGAAGATGCTTTTATTTCTGAAGGATATGCTGGGTGGCCAGAGGTTTCAGATTTCTTCAGCAGGGATTCATCTCTTCCAGGAAGGGGGAGGATGGAGTGAACAGGCCAGTGGAGAAACTTTCATCTCCGTGCAAGAAGGGAGGAGAGACTTAGATGTTCATCACTTCCTCAGACGAAGATTTAAGCTCAAGTATTAACTAATAAACTCCCTGTCCCATAGGAGTTGAGCCAGGGGGTGTGGGGGAGGGAATGGATTAAACATGTGTGAGTTTCCTACTTGGAGCAGGAGTTTTGGTGGCCTGGAAAATGTAATGTGTTTTCCCTTGCAGATGCTCTGGAGTGTGACTCACAAGCCTTTGCAGCTCGGACAGCTTTGCAGAACGAGCTACCAGCAACCTCTTTGTCCTTCAGGGTACATCACTGAATAAGCTCGAGGTAACTCATTCCTCAGAGTAGCCAGACATTGTCAGTGAGTTGCTGCAATTGGTGTTTTCACACTTGTTTCCCATCTGTTAACAACAACAGAAGTTACCTATGCACATTCAGGTGTAAAACCTCAGCTCCAGAAAACATCTACATGTTACACACCCCGAAGTCTATTTGCATGTGTGGTGTGTCAAGTCACATTTCCTATGTTACAGATTCCTGTAATCTGATTTTATCTGTAACTCGAAGATCCTGCTATTATATATTATTATAACTTGGGGATGAAACTCTTCCTAATACTACCTTGCACTTATTGTTTTTGACCCAAAAGCCCACAAAATGCCTGACAAATGCTAAATGGTTTTACCAGAGACCCTGGAGGTCATTAATTGTAGTTATATTCATTTTGCACACATGCTAAGTGAGGGTTTCAGTAGTTTGTACTAGAGCATGTGGTGACTTGCTGGAGTCAAGTGGAGTGAAGTAGAGATAAGGCTCAAAGTTTTCTGTTGATCTACAAAATTCCCCTATGAAGAGTCTAACGTGAATCATTCAGCTCATGTACTTGGGGACTGGCCATGGAACAAAGAACTAATTTTATTGGGAAAATAAATTTTATTTTTTCCCAATTTTCTTATGAGAGACCTGCAATTACATAGCCAAGAGTCTGTCAGCACCCTGGAGCTGTACTATCCCGTGGCACAAAGCTGCCCAGCATTCCCACCGTGGCCCTTGATCCCACCCTTCAGCTCTTTTTGTGAGGAATGCACTGAGCTGGGAGCAGGAGCAGCTGCAAAACTTGGGTGCAGAAAGGTCTTTGAAATGAAAAGGAGGAAGACTCAGCACTATTTATACTCTGGGTGTTGAGCTGTGGTTTTTAGTCCTGGAAGGAGGTGTAGAACCACAGCATCCCCCGTTTTCATGGAATCACAGAGTGAGTTTTGTTTGGAAAGGACTTGAAAGATCATCTGGGTCCAACCCATCTGCCAGGGATGGTGCATCCACAGCTTCTCTGGGAAACTTGTTCTACTCTGTTAGGAGGAAAAAACTTCCTAACTTCTAATCTGCCTTCTTTTAGCTTAAAACCATTCCCATTGTCCTATCCCAGTCTGTCTGTGTACAAAGTCACTCGCCCTCTCTTTTTTTTTTTTCATTTTAAGTACTGGAAGTTCACAGTCAGATCTGCCCAGAGCCTTCTCATCTCCATGCTGAACACCTCCAGCTTTTTGTCTGATGTGATGTCCAGATACTGGGGAGGACAACAACCTGGAGAGGCAGTTTGTTGCAGGTAATCTCACCTCTTCTTGTTCCAGACAGTTTTATCCTCTTAAGTTTCAGTGGTCACTGAAATTGTTACTGTCCTGTGCAGTTCCTGGCTCCTGGCTGGACACCAGCACATCAGAGCAGCTTTTGCAGCAGCCAAGGCAGAGAGGGAAGCACAGTTTTGGTTTGCACACAAAGACTTATCTTGCTGTGTGTCTCTATCCTTGTCCCTTTTACCTTTCTGTGACATTTCTGAATGGTTTGAGGTTGCTTTTTTATTTTTTTTATTGTTTATTTTAATTAAACATGACTAAACAATGATTCTCTGAGTGGGAATCATTCTTCCTAATAACCACAGTGTGCATGCTAACTATACTAAAAATAAATCTTGTCTCTGACTAGTTAAAAATTGCAGTGATTTGTTGATGCTTTTTACCTGTCACTAGTAAGATATAAATATAAATAAGTAGAATTACATTTAAAATATCCATCACTTCACATATGGAGAGTGGCAATGAGTGGGCTGTAATAATAAAATATACTTTATAAGTGTCATAATCATTCAGACACCAGGAACTCATAAGCCACAGATCTGACGTTCAGATGATGAATTGTGATTTTGTTTTAAAAGCCAGACATGTCAACTCCATGTGCATATTGGGAATTGTAGTTCAAGTGACCTCTGCTAAAACACTGACCTTAACAATGACTTTGTTTTACATTTCCCAGAAACTTTTTAAGTAGGTGTGATACTTTCCAAATGTGGTTGTTGCACTAATGCTCATATAAAGTAATTTAAAATATATTTGACACCTTTGTTGTGCTCATATATTATATGGCACAGAAAATGAGATTCAGTGAATGGCTTAAAATTAATTCTATTTTGGGGATTTGGTAACATCGTAAACCCCTTGAGGTTCACCTGTATGACATATGATATCACTGATAAGATGATATTCTTCTAAAACTCTACAGCTCATCCATTCTTGCGTGCAATAAATAAATATATTAGATATACATACGGATGAGTGTTTGTATTGGTGCATATGAAAGCGGATTAGAAAACACTCCAGGGAGATTCCATGGACTACAGGGATCTTGAAGCTGATGGAGGAAGGTTGATTCAGTGGACTTCAGAGGCCTGGATTCTGCTCCCTCTCTGCTGCAAGTTTCTCCTGTGTGACCTTGGACGTGCCTTTTAAAACCCAAATCCTAAAAGTATTTAGTCTCTTGATTCCTGACGAGATGCCTGATTCATGCTGATTTCAGCAGGAATTTAAGATCTGAAAAGGAACTGAGCACTAAAATCCCTTGAAAGATCAGGGTTAAGTTTCTCAGGGGCTTAACCAAGATGGAGATCCTGCTATTTCACAGGGACTTTGCTTGGGTGAGAGCATAAAGGATCATAAGGCAGCATGGTCCTGGTTGCTGTACAAATGTGTGAAGTGCTGTTTCTGATTCCCTGTGAATAGCTGCATGCACTATATAGATGTAATTATAGTCATATCAAATGAAAACACAATTAAGTTCCAGAATTGGAGCTGATTGGCATAACAAAGCTGAGATTTACTGCTTCCTTCACCAGACCAGCGCAGGTTCTAACACAAATCATGCCTCTTAGCCTTCAATTTGATAAACTTTCAGCTATTTTGACATGTAGAGCCAACTGCAGCCTACTCCATCCTGACAAAAAGAGCCTAACAAATGGATTTTCAGTCACCCACTGAACAGAGCTAGATGACAGATCTACATGAAATCCTTTTTGGAGAGAAGGCAGCCTTTTAACTTGATTGATGAAATTATATCTAAATCTAGTAGATTTGGGACTTCAAAGGCATTTTTGCCTACTTAGGGCATCCCAGATGAAGGGAGTATGCTATTTGTACCAAACTCCCATGCTCAAGTGGTTTGCAAATTGACCCCTTTGTAATAGGTTAAAGGTTCCGCGCAAGATAACGGTGGTTCATTTTGATTAATTATGTCAGGGAATTAATGTATGATTACTAACTTTTAGCAGACCCTGCTCTTTCTGACCTCGAGCTGCTTGTTTGTGTGGCTGGTTGTAATTTTCGACCAATGGGTTACGAGAGGTCACTGTGTGGTCAGCATATTTTAAACAAAGAAAAGGGAGGTGGGGAAGGGGGAGCAGGGAAACAGCAATCTCAGATCAGAGTGGGTGGACTACAGTTTACTGGCCTGACAGGGGAGATTTGTTGAGTGTTTTAACAGTAGATTTTTATACATTTACCCTTTCCAATAAAATATTCTTCTGAAGAACTAAGAGAGTGGCCTGGAAAGATGTTGGGAGGATAATTTAACAGTTGAATGTTAAGCCCATAATTGCACTTCATACTGGTTTCAATAGTAGAGAACCTTGTTAAAAAATAAATTGGTCAGTGTTGTGTTTAGCACTTGGATTGGCTGTGAGTGAGGCTGAAAGCTTCTGATTAAGCCAATGCCTGGGAAATGCTGCTTACAAATTTCTTAACCAATCACCGAGGAGATAACAAAGCTTGATAAAAGAAGGGTTTGTGGGGATTTAGCTACATTTCATATTTTAAACTCTTGGCTGAGTATGTGAAGCCATCTGACAGCTTCTAAAGACTGGGAGGGAAATACATGAGACCCAATCCTGTACAAATCTCAGGCTGCTGAATCAACTGTGTTCACTGTGTTGGGTATGGTGCTGAATGGAATTGCTCATGCTGGAAGAGAAGTCTGTGCCTAGGTCTTCACAGGACATCAGCTATACTGTGAAAATCATGGGTGGATGAAGGGTGTAGAAGCCTTAAATTCCTCCTTAAATATTCCTTCTTGCACAAATGTGTGGTCTGACTCTGGCAGAGATCTGCAGGATAGAAGCAGGTACTTTCAAAGCAGCTAAAGCAGGACTTGAATTTGAGTGTTGCTGCATGCTAAGAGCCATTGAAACCCGGGATGTTTATCACTTGTGAAAATCAAGTAATTCTGCAGGGCCTAAATACACACAGAATTAAGCAACCAACAGCAAATGTTAAAACAAAATTGCTATTATCTTACCTGGGCCTCACCCCTCTGTTAAAAATGGGTCTAAAATGCCTGTGCTGTTTATAGGAACACCAAGAGGCTTTTCATTCATGTTGGCACTGTGCTTTATGGTCCTTAGATGAAAGGCACTACTGGTGCTTAAAGAATGATTATTATTGTAATACTCATTCTAAGAACAATAGGCACATTTGTTTTATTTTCCACCAAGACCCTTCAAACACCAGGGTGTCCAATTAAGAAGAAGGGCTGGGACTTTGATGAAACTTTTCCAGTTTGTTTTGGAAACTCCAGTTTTGCTGTACTTTTGGTTGTACCTCTTTGCCTACTTGGGGTTTTGTATTTGGCTTTGGATCTCCTTAATTTTGTTATTCCTTGCAAAAATGTGCTCTTGCCAAACTAGCTTTTGAATTTTTATGTGAGAACACTATAAACAAGTTTTGTAAGAGGAGAAACAGTTATTATCTGAATAAAAATGTGTGGTGTTAGGTGGGCCAGAAAAGTACATGTTGAGCTAAAGAGATGTGAAATGTTCAGGGGGGAAGAATTTGAAGGAAAAAAAAGATGTGGGAAAGGTAAGGACAGTGAATACGATGATAAGACTGTGTATAGACTTAGAGATAGGAGTGGCGTCAAAGGAAGAGAGAAGGTAAAGAAAAGGGAAAAAGAAACATTTGAAGTTTATATATATTTACACATAAACCTGTGTGTCTGTTATGGTTTGCTAAAATTTCCTGGGTCTTCTGAAAATCACCCCATGCAAAAAGGAAGACAAGCAGGAGGACTCAAGGTTTGTTTTACAGGCAGGAAACAAATCTCAGACAGGAGCTGAAGGCTGAGCTGTTATACCCAGCTGGCAGAGGACTGATCATTGCTGATTGCCCTGCAGCTTCTTCCAGCCAACCCACTCTAAGCATAATTCAAACTGGTGTCTTTTGCCACTTAGCAAAGAAAGGAAAGGCTTATGCCAGGCTGACAATTCCTTAATCCAGTGTCCTGTCCACAGAGGGAGTAAGGAACTGATAGTTTAGGCATCCTGACCCTACTCCATGAGTGACAACCAGAAATTTTGTTTCCTGGTCCTTGCTTTGACTATTAGTTTCAATTGCCTCTTGAGCTCTTAATTTAATGGAAAGTCTCACGGCTGCTGCCAGAGCATGGATGTCACTATTATTTACTTATTTAGTAATTTAACACTAGTGTTGGGGATCTCAGGCAGGTCACTGTACACACATTTAATAAATGACAATCCCTCCTGAAATTATTTACAATCAAAACTGTTGATTCAAGTACTTGTACATATGTGCTCTTCCAGGAATCACAAAAGCACATGTTAATTTGCTGTCATAAATAGATGAAAACTTGTGCTCTGTCTCCAGAATTAGGTCCTGAGCTGAAAACATAACAAGCTGTGGGAAAATAAAGTAGCAGAAGTAAGGATTTTGGGATGTACTAGCAGCATTGGAACATTTTCAGCCCAGTTTTATAAGAAAATGAGATTTATCCAATTGTGTTTTCTGTCAATCTACCAATAATAACACTTAAACTTGGACAATGTTAACCACCCTTGGCAGAAGGGTGGGCAGCTCTGGATTAAACAGAGGTCTGTGGGCAGAAGCACAAAGCCTGCAGTTTATCCAGTTCCCAAAATGCCACCGGTGCTGGGGCTTTCATGGTACCCAGCTGCTCACAGTGGAGCACTGGGGAAAAACAGCACAGGCACAACCATGCTCTGAGCCACATGAGCACCTACACTGCAGAAAGGTCAAATATCAGCTTTTAGAAATTCCACTTCCCAGGGAACCACTGGCATATTTGTTCCTGAGCATAAGGGAATGAGTTTCTCAGCCTTATGAAAGTGAAGGGAATTTGGTGCTGCTTCCCATGGAGAAAGGATTGTACCCTGTAACACAGCCTATGGGGACAGAAAATATTTGTTTCCTTTGCTAATAGGGGAAAACAAAGCAAATTAGAAGCAATAATCTTTGGTCTGGCAGAGAATATGCCAGGTATTAGTTGCTTTTTACATGTTTGTACATCAGAGACTTGCATTTTCCTGCTCCTGTGTGTGCCTGGGGTTTTGGTGCTTGTACATGCTCCGATTAAAAACCAATTCTGAACAATGCTCTTTAATTTAATGATCTTAATAAGCACATGGGGGGATTGTCTTTACTGTAAAGACACAAACAATGCTACATGCTTCAACATGAAACATAATTAGGGTGTGCAGTAAAATAACGGGGTGAGGGGGAAGGGGACATTTTTTAAAAAATGAGCACAGAGGTGACTTCCAACAAAACTTCAAAACCAGCTTGGCTAACAATGAACATAGCCCCATTCTTTTTAATCATCAACAAAATCTATCACACATGTTCTTTCAAGTAAAGTTTATTAGAAAGAAATTGCTACTAGAGAACCACATGTGAGCTCTGACTTGGCAAGGTCAGGCCAGGGCAATA